ATACTCCTTATCATGTCTCAAGCTCAAAGGAGTGTAGTGCTCGACTCTCGAGCCACCAATCACGCATCTCAATGCATGATGGCCAAAGAGCCAAGCTTGCACAACGTTGATGAATGCAAGTAACACACAAGACTTGAGAGGCCTCCACCCTATCATGCACAATCAAGGGTGTCGATGACCTAAGGAATGAGGCGCGTTTCATCACTTTGAGTATGAAACGTCCCTCATTCCTCGTGTTTGGATCGACATCTAATCCAAACACAATGCAATGCAACACACATGCAAACAACATGTTATACAAACCACATGCTAATCTTGGCATGTTAAGGTAGTATGCATAAGACTCTTAACATGCAAACAGACACCGCCATCCAGTGTCCTCTACACCGTTTTTTTTTTTTTTTTCAGTGTCTTCACCAACGGTCTGACACGACCATCCAGTGTCTCCTATCCTTTTTTATTTTTATGTATTTTCTTGTTTTGTTCCTCTCTTCAAACTCAAGTTGGTTAGTTTCTATCCTCCTTGAGTTTGCGGGGGGCTGTTAGAATTTACCATCAACTACCACCTCACCTACTCCACTAAACCTAACCCACTACACCACTATCACCATCCACTACACACCATCCACTACACCTACATCTATATAAGGAACCATTTGTAATAGACAGAAATTAATCAATATCAATCAATAATACATTGAATTTTAACTACTGTCTTCTACATCGGTCTGACACCACCATACAGTGTCCTCTACCACGTTATGACACCACCATCCAGTGTCTTCACCAACGGTCTGACACGACCATACAGTGTCTCCTATCCTCTTTTATTTTTATGTATTTTCTTGTTTTGTTACTCTCTCCAAACTCAAGTTGGTTAGTTCCTATCCCCCTTGAGTTTGCGGGGGGCTGATAAAATTTACCATCACCTACCACACACTTACCATCTCCTACCACACACTCACCTACTACACTCACCTACTCCTCACCTACCACCACCTACTCCACTACACCTACATCTATATAAGGAACCATTTGTAATAGACAGTATAATTAGATATCAATCAATAATACATCAGTTTATTTTACAATTATGAACGAGCTTTTGAAGCCGTACTCTGATTTTTAGGGAGGATTGTTTTTTATCCTATTTCATCCTTCTTTTTTGGCACTTTCAAGAACCTCAGATTTAGCTAGTTTTATGAGAAACACACCTTTGTACGGCTTGGCCTTACCACCTTGACTATAAGGATAGGACTGCACTTGCCGTTACCACTTTGGCCACAAAGCCAATGGTCTTCTTTCACCTTTTTAGTCAATATGATATAGGGTATGAACCAGGAGGTATCTCAATGTACACTCATGACTGTTTATGAGCAAATTGTGTATAGATGATTACAACAAAATCTATCGTGTTCGATATTAGGTGATGGGTATTGGGCAATCAAGATTTAGATTTTTGCTACATACTTTACCTGTTGAAGTAGCAAAGTGGTGATGAGCATTCTGACACCATGCCATTTTCTTCCCCTTCTGGATTATGGAGGTTCTTTCCTTTATTTATTTGTTTATGTTTGACACTTGATATAGTGTTGGCATCTCTATGGTTGATGATGTGCAGGTTGAGAACCATTGATGATTTAACTAAAGCTATGGTGAAGAAATTAAATCAAGGGATGACAGAGCACAACAAAGCGATGGCAGCTGCTAAAACTGATGAAGAAAAGGATATTATAGTGGGTTTTCAACTTTCTTGCTGTTCTTTTTTTTCCAAGTTGAGATGGATACTTGTTCTGGCTATTTTCTCCGCATATAAATGATATATATTATTTCTGTTTGTAATATGCAGAAGAGACAAAAGCAGAATTCTACCATTGGGCTCCAAACCTGCAACAACATACTGGCACTGATCCAGGTGAATTATTTTCTAATGCCTTTCTAAACACATGTTAAGAATGCTTGAACAGTAGTTGAACTGGTTTTCTAACGTTGTTCACAATGCAGCCATTGCATTCAAAATCACCTTCATTTATTGGGGATCGGAAAATTAACTTGTCATGGAAAGAAGCAGCAAAACCCTCGGTGCCAGCAATTGCTCCTGTTGCAGGGTATGAGATAAAGCATCTGTCATCAATTATTATTATCATTATTATTGTTATTTATTTATTTTCTTCTCATTACTAATGACATAATTGGACTAGCAGTAAAAAACGTGCAGCTGCTGCTACGAATGGTTCAGGAACTCACATAGCCAAAAAGGGCCGAGGGGTGGGTGGTTTACAAAACCAACTTGTTAATAGAGCCCTGGAAGGTTTATATCGTGGTCGTGGTGGCAGAACTAGTGGGAGAGGTAGAGGCTGGGGTGGTGGACGAGGAAGAGGAGGGGGTTTCCATTAATTCCAGGTAAAGGTGTACAAGTAGAAAAGAGTTACTGACCCTTTGTATTGCGCTTTCTTATAGACATTTACTGTTCACATTATTCTTTATAAAAAAAAAAAAAAAAAAAATTATTTTTTATAAAAAAAAAAAAAAAAAAAAAAGATTTTACATGATGGTGCGAGTAGTTAAGTGTTCTAGGTAGCCAGTGCAGGCGATACTGTGTTAGGTTTGGATTTTTTTTTTTTTTTTTTTTGAAATTTATTATTTCTGGTAATTAACTTTTTAACTTATCAGAAAGATAACAACTTTTGATTTGTATATTGTATATCGGTATCTTTAGCTTTTGTATTAGAATTCTCGTTTCAATTTTCTATTATTTTGTGAGGGGTAACAATCAATTTACATTTTGTGAGGCTTTTAATTTTAACCTTTTTCTGAACTTTTGGATGGAGATATATTTTTACAAAATTGACCGTTTGATTAAATAATACAGGCCAAGTTTTAGGTTGATTGGAAATCTAGGCACTCTTTAAAGTTGTATTTGATTTTAGATTAGTGGAGAGAGAAGAAACAGGAATTACCTTATGTTCTATCGATTTTTCTCATTCATTTTATTTTCCTTTAATCAATTTCTCCGCAAATTAAAAATCCAAACACAACAAAAATGTAGTTAACTCTCCAAAGAAACATGAAAGTATTGACGAGATAGTTTAGGCAACCTTTTTGAGATTTAATAAAATTATAGAAACCCTTTTCTGAAATTTTTGAAATGACACTGACCTTCCCTTTGTTTTATTTGTCAGTTTCAGATTCCGTTTTTCATTTTTTTTTTTAATATTTATTATGAAATTCAATGAGGTAAGCATAAAATTTTTATGCTCAAACTAAAAATAAAAAAAAAAAGCATTTAATTTTTATTTTTCCAGTTTATAATTTCTGGACTTTAATTCTTTAGGGCATGTTTGATTGGATGGTTTAGAGCATGAGATTGAGATTATTAATTCGTGGGCTCAATTATCCTGTGTTTGTTTTAACATTTTGGTTTAGGATTATTAATCTAATGGATAATTAATTCAACAAATTTATAGGATTATTAGTAATGGGATAGGGGTGTGATTATTAATCTAATGGATAATTGATCCTATTAATCTAATTGGATAGCGAATTTTACATTAATTCTGATAGGATTATTAATACTTCGCTATTAGTCTTGTGAATTAAACATGACCGTAGGATAAATTACAATGATCTCTCATGAAATTTCATTTATATTAATTTGGCGGAAGTCAAACCATCTGTTATTATGTTTCGTATGTTCCGTAATTATAAAAATATCGTTCTTACATTATTTATGTATGTTCTTTTTTTTAAATTTATTTTATGTGATTCTGTATATTTATATTAATTTGGGTTTCTGTATATTTATATTTCAAAATCTCACCAATTAACTGCTCGGCTTCACAAGGTCTACCATTGCTAGAAATGGATGAAAATTTGGATGATTTTGGGGCTGGAATTACACAAAATTAATGATGCAAAGAACTTGACACATTGCCACATGAGACACCAAAGATGCTTGGCATAACAAGGCCTACCACTTCCTGAAATGGATGAAAATTCTGCAGAATGGGTCAGGCCCACACTGCTTTTTTTTAAAAAAATAAAAAATAAAATTTGATTTGAGTTTTTTAAATTAAGTTTTTTGAAAATTGAGTTTTTTGATTTTCGTATTTTTTTTTTGTTTTTAGTGAATATTTTTAAAATTTTAAATATATTTTTTTATTTTTTTAGATGCAATTTACTTAGATGTATCTAAAAAATAAAAAATTTGTGAAAAAATATTTTTAAAAATTAATAAATACATAAAAATATAAAAAATATACTGAATTCTTGTATTTTTGGTATTTAGTGAATTTTTAAAAGGTTTTTTTTCAATTCTTTTTTACTTTTTAGGTATATTTATATTAGGTACGTTTAAAAATTAAAAAAATTGCTCATAATATTAAAAAAATTCAGTAAAAACAAAAAATACGAAAAATAAAAAAGTAGTACTTTTGAAAAATGATAACCGAGCAATGTGTTTCCAGGTAACTCTTTTCTGGGCCTTTTATTGTCTGAAAATATTAAAAAAAATAACATTAGTAGGCCCTTTTTATGGAGCAAGGATCCCCTCCTTGCATCATTTTCTACATGCAAGGTTATTGGGTCCACTTTTAGATCCAATTTTGATAATCCGAACCGTTCATATTTTAAGATTTGTTCAGTATATCATACCTGTTAAAAATCAAGTTGATCGGATATCAAAAAACATGTGTTTCAAAAAATTGAACTAAAAACTATTTTTAAAAAAAATTTAATAAACAGTTTTTCAAACACATCATTTCTGATATCTGATCAACTTGATTTTTTACAGGTATGATATACTGAATAAATTTTAAAATATGAACGATTCGGATTATCAAAATTGGACCTAAAAGTAGATTCAATGACCCTGCAAGTAGGAAATATAAGGAGGAAGTACAAGAGGGGATCTTGACTCTTTTTATGCTCCTCTGACGTGCAATAATGCTTCCTTTTGTATTCTCATCATCTGTGACTCTCTCAGTGTACAGTATTTGAGAATTTTTGGGATCCCAACTTCAAAATAATAAAATAAAAAATTTCTGTGTTTTTGTGAGTTATTATTGAAGTGTTTTCAAGAAAGATTTAGGGTTAAATACAGTGTTTCAAAGTGTGCATTTTCATTCATTTTAATCCCCATAATTCAATTGAGAAATCTTGTTCTAAACTTATTGGATCTTGTGATAACCTTAATTTGGGCAACAATTAAAGTGGAAGGTTAGACAAGCTTTTGCTTGCAGAGGGTGTTTTGGGAAGATGGTTAAAAGTTGTTTTTTAATTTTTTTGTGAGAGAGGAAAGTGAGTTAAAAACTGGGAAGTGACTTTTAACTTACTTCCTAAAATATGCCTTAAATATGTTTGTCAACTTTCACTAATCATTATCAGTGTCCCCCTAAGTACTTAATAATACAATTTAAATGCCAACATGAGATGATGGAAGAAGTAACCTAGATACTTTGTGTGTGTGTGTGTGTGAGAGAGAGAGAGAGAGAGAGAGAGAGAGAGAGAGGGAGGCCCTCTGCATGTGAGTCTGATTTGTGGACAAAGAAAAAGGGAAGTGGGGGGCTAACAAAGAGTTCACATGGTGGGGGGAGGAGGACATGATTCTAACAGGCTCCCTCACTTTCTTTCACAGCTCATCATCTCCTATATGCCTTGCCTTGCCTATATATTCTCACCAAGGATCCTCTAGAGTGAAATTTTCCTAAAGTTTCCTAAAGTGCTACATTGTGTGGTTGAGATTTACTGGCAAGTCACATCAATTTTTCTGATGTGACTTGCCAATAAATCTCAACCACACAATGTAGCACTCTAGGAAACTTTAGGAAAAAATCACTTTAGAGGATCCTTGCTCATATATTCTTACCATATTAATTTCCCACTATAGAATGCCACTATTCAATATATATATATATATATATAGATACATTATCCCCTCAAGGGATTCTCTTCCATGTTGCTCTCCTACACCCAAAATGCTTATGTTGTCATCCCATTCCATTACCATATCACAACCCATTTCTAATTTTTATTTTATTAAAGGTAACTTTTTGATTTAATTGGTTTTTTTTAACCCAAGAGTAATATGACAACTATTGTGGAGCAGGTGTGAATGTTTGAATTATATCTTCTTATTTTTTTGTTACACTATATATATTGGTAAGGTTAAAATTTATTAATTGTTAGAAATGAGGCAATACAAAGAGTATCAAACTCTCCATCCATAAAATTTGAACCTGTTTTTTTTTTTTTTTAACACAAAAAAAGTAAGGTTACACAACCATTATGTGAAAGGCCTTAGTTGTTTGAATCCTATCATTAAAAAGGATTAATTTTTTATTTTTTATTTAATTGCAAAATCATAAAATGGGTACTATCTGATCATATACAAATAAAGATTATTTATTAGTAGGATAGACTAAAACAAATAAAATTATACATAACAATTTTTGAAGTGTAAGCTTGACACAAGAAAAAAAAAAACTCGTACAAACACAAAAAGAACTAATAGCAAGCACAAAACGAACATATGTCTTATAAAAATATATATTTTTATCCTTGTCCAATTGATATGCGATTTTTCTTATAATGGAAAAAATTACAAATTAATTAGATAGTCTCAAAAGAATTTTATTTTTATAGAGGTGCAAATCCTCCTCAGGATACAATTTGTAATTAAGTCTTTCTTATATACTTAGGGATTGTTTGGATGATGTAAATAAGTGTACTTTTTATTTTTTTACGAAAAAATGTGCAGAAAAGTAGAGAGATGATATGATGGAAAAAAGATAAAAAGATAAAAAATGTGTACTTATTTAGGATAGCCAAACTTGACCTTAATTTTATATATAATGTAGTTATTTTGAAATTGTTTCAATGCTTTTGTAAAATTTGTTTTACTCCATATTCTACCAATATTCACCAAATTTTTTCTTATTAGAATCGAATTAAGTGAGTCACATCGGCACGTGTTGTCTGATTCCGCTGGTTATTAAACTTTAGGACCACTTTCCAATGAAACCGTTAAGAGATCCCCTTCCCTGCCCTAATTCTAATTTCAAATTGCAAAAATGATATGAATTCTATTTAAGTATTTTGAATTTATTATAAATAAAAGTTGTATTATTGAGATTGAGGCCTCGTTTGGCAATCTTAATTTTTAATTAAAAAGTCAAAAAGTTATTAAATTAGCCAAAAAGTCAATAATCCATATCAAAAAATCAAAGATTCTCTTTTCTTTCTATTTTTTGCACATCTTTTCGTAAAAAGTCAAAAAGTTATCCCAAACATACTAGTTTGTTTTAGTTCATATTTTAGCCAAATAACTAAAAAGTTACTAAATTAACCTGTTCCCAAACAAAACCTGAACTTATATAGTATAAGATTTATATTTAGAATAAATCTGAACAGTGTATAATGACAATTATAAATACTTTTTAGACAGTTAAACTTGAATATATAATATTATTATTTCAATCCAACACAACTTTTGATTTCTTGAGTTTTCAAAAAATAAAATAAAAAATAAAAATAAAAATCAACTCAACCCCCTCAAACAGCTGTTGCTAGCTGTCATAATCCTCCTCCATGTGACCACCACCCCCTCCAATACCTTTGGCCCTAACATTAAAAAATTAGGAGAGAGAGAGAAATGCTTATCATATGATGATGTCCCTCACATTTGTTCTTGTGATTGAGTCATAGCTATCATCCTTTTTTATTTTTATAATTAAGTTAAAACATGATTTTATGTTTTTGAAATTTTTATTCCTATGTCTTCAATTTCATTCTTAAGATGTGATATAAAATTCTCACAAGGCTTTGTGGTTGAAAATATTGCATTAGAACATGGTTAAAATTATTGCCCCTTCGACTTCAACTTAAATGTGGTGAAAATTTTAAAATACATCAAATTAAGATATTTTATGACTAAAAATGTTATATGAGAATGAATTAAAATACAGATACGCATTAAATTACTTAAAATTTTACCAACTATTCATATGATAATAATCCCCACCCATCACCATGGGAGTCGTTTGTGCAATTTTAAGTAATTTAATTAGTGTTTGTATAAAATTTGTATTGGAAGCGGGACAAAGACTTTAGATATCATATCCATTCCCATCCTTCTAATACTGGTATTGTTATAGAAGCAAAATTTTGTATCAACAATGTTACGTAAATAAAACTCATCTATAGAAATATATCAAGAAAAATATTGTGTTATTCAGATTCATTATAAATGTAGGACTCACGACACATGAGTTAAATTTAGACCATACAATAATTTTTTAGATATTTTTCGGTACACATATCTTTTCTAATTTTATATACAAAAAATTTCATATAAAATGCTATCTTGATTATATCTATTAAAAAAAAAATATTTCTATTCATTAGAAGTCAAACACACAATGAGTATAGTTGATAATTGTTGTTGTTGTTGTTTTTTTTTTTTTTTTGATGCAATATACCATTACCTTATCATTCCATTATGAATTTTTTAAATATAAAAATTATGTATATTTAGCTTTATCCTTTTAATACCTCACAAGTGTGTTTCTAGTTATATATAAAAATTATGTATATTTAGCTTTATCCTTTTAATACCTCACAAGTGTGTTTCTAGTTATAGCTCTCTCATTCTTTTAATAGCTCAAGTGTAGTATAGTACCAGATCATTTACACAAAGATTTATTAAAGATTTATTGCTATTTTGCTTTCAAGTGTTTTGTTGGTTAAGTTATATAGTTGTCTTGTTTCTTCACATTTCTCATCAATTCTAAGTTTATTGTCTCATTTGAATGCAATTTTCCATGGCTCAATTACCACCCAAATCACCAAACATGACTCAAAATTGGCCTCCTTTTCCTCTCCAAATGATGCCTATCCCCTCCACTCCAATGGGCAGAAACCTAATTCCCACCACCACCTCCGCCACTGCCGCTGCCGCCGCCACCCAAACACTGTCGTGGGTGGACGAATTCCTCGACTTTTCCTCGGTGAGGCGCAATGCGCAGCGGAGGTCGGTAAGTGACTCATTTTCCTTCCTACCATTTCTTGAAGAATACCCAACTTCTGCACCACCACCCACCACCGCCGTGCACGGTGGAAACACCGCTGGTGGCGGCGGCTTCGAGCGGCTGGATGAGGAGCAACTCATGTCGATGTTCGCCGATGAAACGACGATGAGGGTGGCGCCGCCACCGGCTGTATCGTCTCCGTCGGATGAAAATTGCAATAATGCAGAGAAGCCAAAGTCGCCGCTGTCGCCGCCGCAACAGCGGCGTCTAAAGGAAGAGCCACCACCAGATGATTATGGTTTATGCAAAGCTGACACACCAGAACTGGCAAAGGCTTCCAAAGCCGCCGTAGCCTCCGGCGGAGACACTATCGTCGATCCCAAGAGAGTTAAAAGGTGATAACTCTGAATTCAACAAGTCACGTATACTAATTGATGCATAAAACATTATTTATTGTAAAAATCTTTCAAAAAAATGTTTCAACTTTGCTAAGAAAAATTGGTAATTACTAGGTATGCTCTGCATGGCTATCCTAATATTGTAAAATTGATATGGTTATAAAATTTTCATATAAAACTTTTTTTGGAAAATAATAAAAGTGATGTTTTTAAAAATATGAGTGAATTTAATATTTTTTTAAAAATTTTAGTTGGATAGAATTAGGACTTGTCAAATAATTTTATATTGATTTTATGTACAATTATATTTGTGTATTATTCAGTCACCGATTATTAGCACCACATACCTCAAAAAATAATAATAATAATAATTATGTAGCACCTAATTATATATAAAATAATATTTTTGATTTGAAATAAAAAAACTTACATCATTAGCATAAAAAAAATTTATTTTATATATAATGATGATGTGATTGAATTATATTTTTTTACTTTGTAAAATACAACAGTTAATTTAAAAAATTGTCCAGAATCTATAATCAATAATCAAGATTGATTTGTAATATGTCCCACAATAACAAGATTAAATATATACCATTGATTTAAAATTTTGGATAATTTTTTTATTTTTTATCTGGGTACTCAGTCTTTCTCTATAAAAATAAAAAATTAAAAAAATCATTTAAAATAATTTTTAATTATAAAAATATCTTTGTTACATCAAAATTTTTTTTTTTTAGCAATATTAAAATTTTCCTTCAATAACAGAGAATTATGTAAATACTAATCGAGTTGACTAATTAATTGTTTTTTTTTTGGGGGGCAATTAATGTATGTAAATTAGAATTTTGGCGAATCGTCAATCAGCACAGAGGTCACGAGTGAGAAAGCTGCAATACATTTCAGAGCTGGAACGTAGTGTAACTACTTTACAGGTACATTATTTGCTTCAAAAATACCATGAATTTGGAAAATGTATTGTGAATCTTACCCAAAAATATGTGTGGGGGTGATGTAGATTTAAAATTAGTGAGGTGTGTATCACGCCTACCGTGAATGTAGACCACTAATTCATTTTTCTCTGTACGTAATATTGGTGCCTTTGTTTAGGGTCATTGTTGTTTCACATTTTTCTTTCAAGTATATATATATATATATTTTGGTTTTTTGTTTTTGTTTTTGTTTTGTTTTTTGTTAGACTCTAACCTGGGTATGATGCCTGGTTAGTGGTAAGGGAGCACCTCAACCATCAGGTCAATCTCTAAAATTTTGTTTTCAAAATTTGACCTTTTAGTTTTTAGAATTTTTTTTTTTACTTGTCCAAAGCATCACCTCGATCGATTAATTTTCAAGTACATATAATGCCTGCTTCATACCTATAGGGTAATTATTGAATAAGTGAGACTTTTAACCATTGATCCATTCTTAAAGTTTGAGTTATAGGTCTTAACAAAGTGATACAACTCAATTGTTTATCAGTTTCTTAAAATAAATCATTCTAAGGACACATTATAGCACCGATTAACAGAGCTATAGACACAAAATGTGTGCTCAATCAACTACAAAAATCTTGTCTGTTAATATCTTTAACGTATTCAATTTTGTGTTTGGTTCTTTTTTTTTTTTTGTTTTTTTGTTTTTCTGAAGATTGAAGTATCGGCAATGTCACCGAGGGTTGCATTCTTGGATCATCAACGGTTGATTCTTAATGTTGACAATAGTGCACTCAAGCAGAGGATTGCAGCACTTGTTCAGGACAAAATTTTTAAAGATGGTAAACCCTCCTTATTCATGAATTTTAAACATGTTTGTTGTGAAATTTCACACTCAACCATGGCTGAACCATGATAAGTTAAATTGTTCCACAATAATGTTCTATTCCAATTTTTCCTTCATCCTTCTACAATGTACTTTAAACTGTATGATATGGTAAAAATATGGAAACACGACAACATCATGGCACAATCATGTGGCTAAAAATGACAGGTGACCATTTGTTCGGATCTTTCGTGTTTTTTTATCCCAAGGTTCCTCTCTATCACATGATTAAGTCGGACATATCTATTCTAAGGTAGAGAATTGTCTTTGGAAGAAAATTCCAAACGAAAATCTCAAAAATCTGGCCTGACTAAGAATACATTCGATAGAGACAAATTTTGGAACTGAGGCATAAAATTTAGTTCTTTTTGTTTGTTTTGAATTTGAAGTTAGATAACAAAACAACATATAAACAGCTAGCTAAGTTTGCTCTCTTTCGTTATCCATGTGGTTTGTTCACCTTAATTTCATGGGGACCTCAAGAATTTGTGTCCACATTTCCTTGTCAATCTTTCCTAATTTGACAAACCTTTGTAAAGTCCATCATGTGATCTTTCACACCAAACTTTGGAAGAGGGATTTGGAAAAAAAGAAAAGAAAAGTATTATATAAGTCTGAAATTCGATGTAATTGCATGTCAGATTGACTAACGGAGTTTCATGATTTATTCATAATATTTCTATATTTTAGGTGATTGCGTCTGTTTGTTAACCAATAGAGTTCTGTGATTTAAAGCTTTTGTCTTGTAAAAATGGCAGCTTATCAAGAGGCATTAAAGAAAGAAATAGACAGATTAAGACAAGTATACCATGAGCAGAACCTAAAGAAGATGGCTGTCACCACCACCACCACCACCACTGCAGCAGCAGCACCACCACCATCAACACCGCCGCTGCCGCCAACAACCTCCGACAACATTGGATGTACGGACAATGATATATCTTCACAACAACAACAAAAATAGATAATAATAATAACAAAAAGCAATACTAGGGAATGAGAGGTTGCTGTGCTTTCTGCTGCCATTCACGTGATGTGTTTTCTTCTTTCCCAATTTTAATCTAATGTTTAAGTGGGACCCTTTTATGAGCTTGGGAAGATCTGGGCCATTCATACAAATGAATCACCCAAAATCACATAAATAAACGGTATAGATTAAAGAGTTGATTCCATTTGTCTCAAGCTTTTTATAAATATTTTTTAAATTCTTATTACATCACACGATTATAAATATATTGAGACACCAAAAAAAAAAAAAAAAAGAAAAAGAAAAAGGAAAAAAGATTCGAGTCTCGAGAATTCTGTGCCTTTTATTTGTGTTTTCAATTAATTGTAACTTCATATATTTTAGATTTTAAATTAATGTGGAGGGAAAAAAAGAGTTGTTTGTGGAGGGTGTGGGCTGTGTATCGGGATGTATGATAGTAGAGGTTGTCAGAATTTGTGTAATTAATGTCTGATCAATATTATTTATTTTTTAGAACTTTTCATATATTCTTTTCTTGGGCATAATATTTATTATTTTTTTAATTTATTCCATATTACAAAAATGTCTCGCTCAATATACATAATATTATCATTCCTCTATTGATCACCCATCCGATTAAAAATTTAATACTTTAAAATTTTTTTCAAGACAAATGCCATTTTTGACAATCACTAATCAATGTTAAAGTTTGACATTTTTAAATTAATAAACACACGTTATATTGAATATGTTTATTTTTAATAAATAAAAATATGTTAATTTATTTGATACGTATAATTTTAATATTTGTATAAAAGGTTGAGATTATTGAGTCGGAATAAAATACGTCTAAAAAATTACAAAATAGTGCAATTTGAGAACTTTAGTGAGGCTAACTTGTCCCTATGTACATCCGCCCCCAACCAGTGTTTCCATGTGAAGTAATTATCTTGTATTTTCTGAACACAATATTGATCGTGTACTATGTGCTTATATCATTGGAAAAATGAGAATAACATGGCAAAAAAAAAAAAAAAAAAAAAAAAAAAAAAAACCCCCCCGAAAAAAAAAAATCATAAAACACCACCGATCGGGCACTTGGTCACGTGATGTTCCGGTCTCAACTGATAATTTTTGCTCAACATGGCCAATATAAGTCTCCAGTTGATCTTGTGTTGAAGCATGTGACTGAATTTCCACTTGCCAAGAATGACATAGAACACAAGAGCAACTGTTGAAGTGCCTCCTGTTAATATGAAGAGTATCCAAAAGCTGTTGAGGCTGAGGGTAGGGTTTCCATGATCAGATTCCATGTCCAAACACTCAGTCCCAGTCATGCTGTTCTCTAACTCTCCTAGTGTACCACTCTCTGCCACCTTCAATAGTGCTTCATTTATATCAGCAAGCATTGGAGATCCCTTCGGAAATACCTGAGTCACAAACCATTACAAGTTATATGAGTCATATCCATTCAAATGATCATATTTTTTTTTTGGCACTTTATACCTAATCTTATTTTGCCCATTTGCATCTTCACCTTTCAGTTGTAACAATCAAACTCTTACATTTTTAATCAAGTGTCAATGCCTCCTTTCCCTTCAAATTTGTTAGATAAATTGACTGAATTTGTGATGTGAATGTCAAAATTAGGCCGCATATCATGCAATGACAATTTTTAGCCAATTTCTGTATCAGATTTGGATAGAAAGAGGACATTGGCATTTGATTAAAAGCGTTAGGATTTGATATCCTCATTTGAGAGATGAAGAAAAGGGATTGAGTATATAGTGTAGGGGTGTGTGCGGTGCGTTTTGAACGGTTTGAGAGTAAAATTACAAACTGAATTGCGGGTTAGCGGCTTGACAAATGCGGAATTATCATACATTTGCATAATATATAACATTAATTTGTATAATATTTTTTAGATATATAACACAGTAATTTTACATAATATGTTTCATATATATAATTATTAATTTGTAATAAATTTCATATTTTAAATCTCTGTCACACTCATTTTAGAAGTTAAAAAATATATATGTATTAATTATAGCGGAACGGAGTGGTTCAGTTGGTGGATTATAAATTTTAATGTTTAAACTGCAGTTAGCAGCTAGAGCGGTGTGGTTTAAATAGAATGAGCTATATTTTGCATAGCCCTAAGTGCAGGGGTAGAAAGTATAATATACTTTTCTTTTTTGGCTTGATGAAAAGATAGGAGGGAGCAACCAATCGTAACAATTTTCCTCATGCATGACCAACGGAGACCCTACTTGTTGGGGATCTAGACTAGAAGGGCCTAAACGAGCTTGTCAATTTTCCTCATGCATGACCAACGGAGACCCTACTTGTTGGGGATCTAGACTAGAAGGGCCTAAACGAGCTTGACAAAATGACGGAACTTCACATGGGAGAATCGCAGGCGCTCTCTCACGATGAACTTGAGCCATACTTGAGTCAGTCCCACTGGGGTCCTAGTGAGTGAAAGTTAGGAGTAGAGATAGATGTCACCCCCATAGAGACACAAAACTAAGGGGTATTTTGGGAGGATGGTTAAAAACTGTTGTTTTGACATTTTTGTGAGAGATAGAAGTGGGTTAAAAACTGAAAAGTGACTTTTAAGCCACTTCCCAAAATGGCCCTTGAAGTCACTTGCTCACCATATCGAGTGAGAGTGAGCTCAAATCATATAATCTAATATGCAAACACAGCCTTAAAACAAAATGAAGTGACTTACAAATCCAAAGCCTCCAATTTTATACGACGGCCCTGCTAGGATGAAGCTCTTGCAGTACATGGCGAGGAACAGTTTTGCGAAAGGAGCTACAAGAAAGAGGGCTGCTATTTCTCCACTCTTGAGCGCTTGAGCGCATTCTTGGGGTGAGCTAAAGTTCTTGAGGTTGGTGGACTTGAATCCCAAGACATCTTTCAAATATGTCGGGACATGGGTTCCCTTGCCGTGCCCAACCATTGCATTGCTATTCTTCAAGGTTTCAATGTTTCTTGTTGCGGGCTGAAGCTGCTGCACGGTGAGCATGCTAGTGAGGCTGGCAGTGTAACTTTGGGTGATGACGAGTGCCACAAAGAGCCACACCACCATTGCCATTCTTGACAAATTGCTATGCAGTTTTTCCCCTGTGCTCAAAACAATAACCAACCAAAGTCACATTATTGTTGATTAGCTGAATAATCCTCTCCTAAACAATTTTGAGGGTAGAAGGTTTATTATGAAACCTTAGCCAGTTTCCTATTTTTTGTTTACATTAAACAGAGAGAAAAAAAATTGTCTTTATTATTTAAAGACAAGATAAAAATCCAGTGGCGGAGCTATTGGTGGTCAATGGAGGCGTCTAGTAGCAGAGCTAGAAAATTAATTTAGAAGGAGCAATTATTAATCGCAACGTTGATTTTTTTCACCCCTTCTTTTTGTAATTAATAACAATAAAATGATAAAAAGTTTTTGAACTAATATTAATAAGAAAACTTACTTATTCATTACAAAATTTTTAATGTAAACTTTTACAATTGATCTTGGCCACTTATTATCTTTCAAAAATAAAAATATAAATCCCTAATCAAAATTCTTAATTTTAGCACAAACCATTACAAATCAAAACCCCTAACTCCAGCACAAATTACTATTTTAAATAATTTTTTTTTTGAGCATATCAAAAATTTTAATTTTGACACAAATAACTAGACATTAAAATTAAAATCAAAAGATCGCATTTTTAGCACAAATAAAAATAATATATAAAATAAATAAAAATACAAAGTGAGGGGAATGAAAATTGTTTCACTGGAAGATTGCCAGGGGTCAGCTGGCCTACGACCAACGGTGGCCTGTAGCCAGAGATGGTAAGAAAGGGAGGAGAGAGCATGAACATTGTTCTAATTTTTATAAATTTTTTTTGGAATTGATTCTATTTTTATGAAAACGAAAACAATAAAGCAAAATAGTTTTCGTTTCAAGATTTCCAAAAAAAATAAAATAAAATAGAAGGGATTATGTTGTGTGTCACTTACCATTCAAAGAGAAGAGTGTGGTGAAGCCTAACCAAAGCAAGGTCCCAATTTGATCCATGACAGAGCCTTGAAGTTCAGGGCAGTGATTTCTCTCTATTAACCATACAACAAAGCCATTGTATATATTGATAGCCATTATTAGAATCCACATGTCTGTTGTGAATGGTTTCATGAATAACAAAGCCCTGTTTGTTTGTAATTGAACTGGGACTACCATCACCAATCCTGATTCTGTGTATGCCTCTGTGAATTCTGCATACTGATATCTACTTGCTAGTATTTTTACATCACCAACTACTCCCCTGAAATTCTGCTCCAATGCACAGATAAATTCCAAAGTAAAACCAAACATTATCAGTTTATTTCTAGTCACAGAAAAGAGTTAGCCCAACAGCTAAAGCAAGAGGAGAAGAAGAAGAAAGAAGGCCTACTCTTTTGTACAATCCATTCATTTTGGTTAATTATTCAATAGCCCCGGTCTACTGTAACATTATGTACGTGGTGCTTCAAATCAGTCACGGAGGTGAAAGACAAATGATAATTTACTTGGTACGTGTTTCTATTGTCTCATTGGTCAGATAAATAATGCCACAACATTATAAGCCTATTGAATAATTTTTCTTTATTTTGAGAGAGTCGTGTAATTGTTGTAACATTTCATCCTATATTGGCTTTGTAGGAAAAGTTTTTAAGTATTTTAAAATCGTTACAGTTCAGCTCAAAACAAACAATATTGCTATGATTTCAGATAGAAACATTAACATTTGGTATTAGAGCAAACGGGGACATGTCGTTTTGCAATAAATCTAAAATCACAAAAAAACTTTTGTGCATATTTTTTAAATTTTGTTTTATGTTTGAAGCATTTTTGAGACGTCGGCATTATTACATCTAATAAGTTGAATAGTAGTGCTTTTTTTTCAAAATTGTTGTTTTGTGCTGAACCTTCAGTTTGGGCATTCATAAAAAATTAGCGAAATCATTAATTTATTCAGAATAATTAGTCAAATTTAAGAAAAATATTTCCTGTAGACTAGTCAAAACTTGCAAAAATGATTTTATGAATAGTAACTACTTTTTTTTGATTCACATTCACCAGTCACCTAATTTTTTATTCTTAAACTACTTACACTTTCACTTTCTCTCATAAAAGTAATAAATGAATATTCTTAAATGAACCCAACTAAAATAAAGAGCATTATTGGAGTGTAAATTGAAAAAAAATGACAAGCAAAGATAGTACGGTAAAATTTTAGTTTTTCTAGAAATACAAAAAAAGAAAAAAAAAATTGGAACACAACTATCTCGTTTGGATGTAGAACCACAAGAAGATAGGATCGAGTTATGCAAGAGAATTGTGTCTAATTCTGTGCTTTTAGACTATTTGTAAAATTTAGAGATGCTCGAGATGATACAAAGGAACAGAACAAAGCATGTAAGTACTAAAAATTCTTACCTTCAAGTGAACTTGCTTCACCAAATCATCATAGTCACCATCAAATGGTACAAATTCATACGGAAAATCATACGGCAAGCGTTCTATTGTTGCTTTGAAGACATCAATTGAAAATCCAGTAAATGAAAATCGGTTTGTCTGATCGTCGTGCTCCACATTTACAAACTGTTTGAACATTGATCCGGTGGGCACGCCAATTCTCAGCCGTTCAATCTCTGTGGAAACAGTCCATCCTTTTGGAGTATACCGAGCTCCCCCAGGCCAAAACACTTGCTCCAAAACCTGCATTGATGAATTGTAAAAAACTGTTTGATCAATTGCCTCTGAGAAGCCTCTTCCTTCTGTCCAAAACCCGAGTTCTCTGTAACTCTTTCCAATCACATTGACAATCTGGAATGTATGTGATGGAGCTAATTTCCTTCCATTGAATCGAATTTTACCTGTCAAACCATTGAAATCAGTTGATGAAATTTTTTCTGTGATTTCTTGGCCGTCCGATTTACCTGCACCTCCCAATGCCAGAGCAACTGCCCACGTGGCATCGTAGGCTTTGACTGCAAAAATCCCAGGTTCGTGGTTTTTTTCTTCAGGGTGGTCTTTGCTGAACTTTTTTTTGAATTTCTTGGTGAATTCTTGGAAACGTGGCCCGGTTTCAGGGAAGTAGGCCTTGATGCCGATTACACCTTGCATTGAGGAAATGGCAGAGGCGTCAAGGGAATAGATTAGACTTGTGATTGTGTCTGTGGTGATCCATACATAGTCCTTTGTCATCATTTCCATTTTCTTTGCTTTGGCAAAGAAATGGATTGCCAGTGGGAGAGATACGTGAACCACGAAGACTCTGCATTGCTCGCCTTTAAGCCTCTGGAGCTTTTCAGAGAATGAAGAGGATGGGAATGGTGGGAGAGCTATAAGCTGATCAATTTCAGCGCCCACTTCACGTAGGGCAGTTGATAAATGAGATATGACACCATTAGAAGCTGAGTTTGTCGTGTCCTCGTATATCAGAGTGACTCTGTGCCATTCCCATGACTGGACAATTGCAGCCACGGCTTTCATTTGTGAGCGTTGATTGGGCGAGGAGGAGGCTTGGATGAGGAAGGGCCAACGCAGCATTGCCCATTCTGGGGTTGAATCGGTGGCAAGAGAGAGAATGGGAATGTGAGCTTGGGTGCAAACATCTGCAACCAGTGATGATTCTTCCCATGCGTGAGGTCCTAGAATTGCTTGCACTTTCTTTGTCTTGATGAGGCTTCTAGCTGCATTAAACATGATTGATGACAATGTTGGTACTTATTCATCATAGTACATGAAGAAATAAAAGGGAAAATTGGCCATAAGCCCTTCACACTAACAGCTTTCTTCTAAAAGTCCAAGTTTTAAATCTTTAATGCATAAAGTCCCTCCGGTTAATGTCTTTAATGCATAAAGTCCATATTCTAATAAGACTAAAATTTTATGGGCTATTTTACCCTCCTTCTAGTACACATATTTTTATATGCTACAGCTCATATGAAACTCTGGACAATGATTCGGTAACTGGGAATGATTTGTGAGAAGTAATAGAGAAATCTTCGAGATGGCGAAGATCGATTTTTGCTTTTTTCGTTTAACAACAATTCTTTTGAAATTCTTGCATTTCGTGATCGATTTTAAGGTACTAAACAGGTTCAAATATGTTCTATTTAAAACATTGTTTCTTCATTAGTTTGCTTCTTCACGAAGACACTAATGGGTGGGAGATTAACTTCCTGCTAATGATTGATGAGTGTGAGGGGCTTGTGGTTCTTGTATAGCATGCCGACTCAAGGCTTGGATTCAAGTTCTCATAGATATACATTTCGATCATTGTTCGAGTTAGAGTTAGAGATTCGTTCAATCACTATTTGATTCTTAATAATTCATTCAATCACTATTAGATTAATTTTACTTAGATTGCGTTGATAATATATGTCAAAGTTGTTTTATTTGCTGATACTCTGTTTAAATGATAGTAAAATTTTACTCTGGTTTACTATAATAATATGTAATCTGTCATTTATTTGCTAATGCTCTGTTTTAAATTAACAGTAAAGTTTATTATGATTCAAAGTAAGATTTTACTCTGAAATTTTACTCTGGTTAAAACATGTTAATTTGCTTAACGATATAAAATTTTACTTTGAATTATAGTAAACTTTACTCTGATTCAGAATACAATTTTACTCTGAATAAAGTTTACTGTGATTCAAAATAAAATTTTGCCTTGGTTAAAAACATGTTGATTTGCTTAACGATATAAAATTTTACTTTGAACCATAGTAAATTTTACTCTGAAATAGATTGTGAGGATGACTTAATAGGAGAGTTGATAGATATAAGGGTAATATAGTAAAAGAAACAAGTTTCAAAATATTAGGGGGTTTTGAAAGTACCTATATAATTCTTGTCCTTTTGAAAGACAAATTAGACAGTGAGGGGTCTATCACCAAATCTTCCAAAATAAAAAAAAAAAATTGTTTTGTCATTTCTATTTAATTTATTATGTATATTTTTGTTGGTATTTTTCCACAAAAATACAAGAATAAAATATATAAAATGAATTAAATAGAAATGACAAAACATTTTTTTTAATTAAAGAATGAAAGACATAATAAATTACACAACAGAAAGTACAGAAATGAATTAGATTATATTACTAATAGAACAAATTATTAACATGGATAACTAAATATTAGAGCTCATCTTTGTAAACTAAATTTTGAAAAATTTAAGAACAAATGATAAGAAAAGAAGCAAACCAAAGCCTCTGTGATACCACAGTTTCCTTAAAACAGATTCACCACCTCCTGATAGATGCTGGAGATACACCGGCATTTGTCTCCCAATATACGACGGTCAAAATTAGCTAATGCAGAAATACTTTCTGAATAGCTTTGGCGAATTTGACAATAGTTGCATTCTCTCTAACAAGAACCAAAGAAAGGACTAGCAAAAAAAAAAAGGAAAATTTTTCTTTACTGTAAAATAAACATCTCTAACTTTTTATCTCAAAACACCATCTCCATTTTCCATAAAAAAATCTCTTTAAAAGTCCTTCTCCCAAGTTAGAGGGAAAAATGCCTTTATTTCTATCAGTAGGGAATCCCTAGCCATGAAAGTTATATATCAATAGGGCCATCAAATGCCATTAACCAAGGCCATCAACTCTAGCTATTAGAGCATCTCCAACCATACTCTCTAAAATGCAGTACACAGAAAACTACCTTCTTTATTTTTCCTAACTAGTTTAGCTAGTGTACACTCCAACCATACTTTTTATTTTAGGTAACCAATCAAACTAACTTAACTATTTTTTAAAAGAAAACTATTATAAACATTAATAAATAAATAAATAATCTTTTTATGACATGCTGCATATATTGACGTGGCATTTGCAAATATTTATTTATTTAAAATACATAATTAAATTATTTATAAAAAAATATTTTCAAACAATCATATTATCTCAATGGTCATATTTTCAAACGGTAATATTCTCTCAACGGTCATATTTTCAAATGGTATTATTCTCTAACGGTAATATTCTCTAACGGACATATATTCCTAACGGTCATATATTTTTGTTTATAAAAAGGATTTGCTCTTTCATTTGTACCAATTTGAACTATATTTCTCAACTTCATTCATTTTTTAATTACCATGGCTCGCAATACCATGAAAATGATTCTTAATGACTTTGATGGTAATGACGAATTGCAGCTAATAACGATAACTGCAATGGAAGAAAAGCGACTCAATAGAGAAAGATGTTTGAGAAGATGTAGTGGTTCCATTGAAGGCCATGCAATTATTTATCATGATCGAGTTCAAGGCCATGAGAGACTTTATCAAGACTACTTCAGGAGGAGATTCCGAATGAATCGATCTCTCTTTCTTCATATTTTGTCCAGAAAATAGATGTTGGAATCATTGGTTTATCTTCCCTTCAAAAAATGACAGCTGCTATGAGGATGCTCGCTTATGGAGTAGCAGCAGATTCAGTGGATGATTATGTGAGAATTGGTGAAAGCACCGCCATAGAGAGTCTAAAAAACTTTGTTAAGGCGGTGGTTGCAATGTTTTCTGAGAGGTACTTGAGGAGCCCTAACAATGATGATATTTCAAGATTATTAGTGATGGGAAGCAATTGTAGGTTTCTTGGTATGTTAGGGAGCATTGATTGTATGCATTGGAAGTGGAAAAATTGTCCTACTGCATGGAAAGGTATGTATTCTGGTCACATCCATGAACCAACTATTATTTTAGAGGCTGTGGCTTCTCAAGATTTATGGATATGGCATGCCTTTTTTGGGATGCCCAGATCTCATAACGACATCAATGTATTAGATCGTTCTTCTGTATTTGCACTCCTTACTCAAGGTCGTGCCCTCCAGTCAATTACTCAATCAATGGAAATGATTATACAATGGGATCCTATCTTGTCGATGGTATATATTCGCAATGGGCAACATTTGTCAAAACAATCTCATCTCCATAAGGGAATAAGCAAATATATTTTGTAAAAGCTCAAGAATCGGCAAGGAAGAATGTTGAGTAAGCATTTGGTGTGCTCCAGGCATGTTTCGTGATTGTGCAAGGACCTGCACGTTTTTAGAAAAAGGAAATAATGGAAGATATTATGATGATATGCATAATAATGCATAACGTGATTGTTGAAGATGAGAGGGATGCCAGTAGAATAGACTTTAAATATGATACAATTAGTGAAAGTCTTCCACCAGTGTCTCACGAGTGTACACCAGAACTTCTTGAATTCATTCAAAATCATCATCGCATCATAGATAGAGGAACTCACTCCAAACTCAAACAAAACTTGGTCGAACACTTGTGGACACTACATGGAGACTCCTTGTGAGAAGTGCTAGTTGGTTCTTATTGATTTTTGTACTAGTTTATATTCTTTAGTGAGTGTGTTTTCAAAAATATTTGTACTACTTTATGTACTTTCAATAATATATCACTAATGATTAAAGAATAGTCACTATCATGTAATGGATAATATATATTCATTATAGGTACAAAATTAAATTATAGTAATACCTTGTCTTTTTCAGTAGAACCACTTCGATTCATTCATTTAACTTGAGCAAAACATCCACAAAATTTATTTGTGGCAAGTTGAATCGTCGACCACCAATTCATTAGAGAAGTTTGAGTTCTTTCAGAATCAAAGGGTTTGTACTTGTTGAAGTTCTCCCACACTCTTAACCAATATGCCTTTGACTTTTGCTCATTTCCTCTAATTAGATCTAAGCTAATATTAAGCCATGAAGATATGAGCATCATGTCTTCCTTTACGGTGAAGTTCCCTTTGCGTTGTGATATTTTTGTGGTTTGATTAATAATTTCAGGAGAGAATGATAAAGATTGACTCTCTTATTGAGGAGAGTTAGTGGTAAAATCATGGTCAAGGTCAAACTTGTCGTTCATTAGGTTGCTAAAATATGCATTTCCTTGATATTCCACCTAAAGCACAATTGTTCATACCACACAAAAAGAAAAAGAAAAAGAAAAAAGAGAGAGAGAGTATCAATTCATGGCCAGGGTGGACATAATACACTTAGAGTGAGCCATACTTGCAACGTATTAGATTTCAAAACCAATAATTCAAGTAAGATACAAGCAACTGCAAAGTAAATCAATAGAATTTTACTACTTAATTTTTATATTAATTCTCATTGATGTTATTGATCAAAACAAAATGTGTATTATATCAACAATAGAATTTTAACAGTATTTCTACTACTAGTATACTAGAAAGAAAAACCAAAATTTTGCAAAGGCTATGAAATTGATCTCTATTAATGATAATTGCAAATTTTTATGTTTCAGTTTCTATAATCTGAAAATGTGTGTACCCATAAACAATTACAAATGCAACAAAGTTTAATGGAACAATTAAAACCAGCAATTGCACATATAGCAATAACATCATTTTCTTTCTTAACAACAATTAAAACCAGCAATTTGCTGCATGACCCAGTAGCCACTGGAACAATTTTAGTACACAATTTCTTTGCAGTGAACAATTTCAGTACACAAACCGAATTTTTGCAAATGGATTGCCCTAAATAATGTATTCCTTTGCACAAATTTAACATAGCAAGGTAGAAGAGGGTTTGGGATAAAGTTTCACAAAAAAGGGAAGAGTTTGGGAGGGGATTTGCACATGGGGAGGAGAGGTTTGAGAGAGGGTTTTGTAGAAGGGGAATAGGTT